GCTGGGTGAAAGAGTCATCTCGAGGATCGTCGGGTTGACTGTTGCCACCGTGAAGATCCAAGTTGGCTTCGTCTGGGCTGGTCTTTATGACTTGGTCATGTATAGAAAGGGTTTCCTTGGGCACAGGCAGGTGTTGTTGCTTGACCGAAGTGTTGTAACATGATCGTGCACTAAGTTGATCTCCTCTGATGTAACCATTGCCATAGGGGGTTGGAAATTTCATCAACAACATATGTGTGGATACCATGGCCTTGAGATCATTGATGCCTGTGCGTCCGAAAGATGACATTGTATGCCGTTGGGCAATCAACCACCAGGAAGTTAGTGGTAATGGTAGCTGTGTAAGGGCCTGTACCAATGGTGAAAGGTAAGTGTATGCTCCCCAAAGGTTGCACGATATCACCGGAGAAGCTTATCAGAGGGGAAATCAAGCGATCGAGCAAGTGTTCAGCTACATTAAGTGCCCTGAAAGCTTCAGCAAACATGATATTGACCGAAAGCCCTCGTGTCTACCAGGATTCGCCGTACTTCAAAGTTGGCTATGTGAGCTTCCACGATCAGTGGGTCGTTGTGAGGGTAGATGATACCTCTTTCTTCCTCAGGGTAGAAACATATTGGATCCCAGTTAGGCTTTTGACACTTACCTCCCCCTGATGTCTTCCACGTGAAACACTTGGTGGCCAGACCTTAAAGCTCGTTCACTATTTTTCATGGCCCTGTTGGAAGATTTAGATATGGGTGTGCCACCACTTATGGAATATATCACATTCACCTGGCGTTGGTTACGGTTACCCTTGGAGGGTGAAGGAGGAATTGATCAATTTTTCCTTCACGTGCCAAAGCTTCAATATGATCACGAAGGGTGATACACTTCTCGCCGTCATGGCCGTTATGCTCGTGGTAGCAGCAAAACGTGCCCGTGTTCTTCGTGGGCTTGTAATCCGGGTGCCTCGGCTTTGGCTTCGGTATCAGGTGTGCTATGCTGGGGTAAATGGCCACGCATGTGGCGTTCAAAGGTGTGTATGCCTCATACCTCGGGGTAGGGGCTGTCCTGACACGTGCTTGACCCACTGTGTTGACTGCCTGGGGTCGGGGATTATCATGGCGATACCCTTGGTTATCGCGGTAGTGTCCCTTACTCCTTTTACTAAAATGAGACTGGTGAGGATGGAAATCTTTCCTTTTGCCCTGAGATTGATATGTCTGTTGACTTGGCAAAGTATTAAGTAAGGCAGGGGGAGGCACCGCTGCCGTTTGGAAGGTCGAGGTCTTCTCATTTGGTTGGATCTGGCTTCCACTCCCTACTTGCTGATAAGGGGTTGTGGGGGGTTTCCCTTGATATGTCCTTGCCTCGGCGGAGGCATGGTTGTAAGCCTGTGCCATCACCTCAGAGTAAGTCTTCCAAGTGTTGGCATTGATCATGTACTTGAAGAAACAATCACGTAGGCCTGCCGTGAAGGCTTTGAGGGCAGTCTTGTCATCTGCCTCAGCACAACGGGAATACTCATGGCTAAAGCGGCCAGCATACATACGTAATGACTCGTCTGGCTTCTGGCGAATAGTGTACAAGTCATCTGCAGAATGCAAGCGATCGGTCTGGAAAATGTGTTGAGAGACAAACAGTTTCCTCAGTTCCTCAAATGAGTCTACTGTCTCCGGTGGAAGACGACAATACCAGTTTAGAGCTCCACCAGAAAGGGTGGAGGGGAAGAGAAGACATCGCTTCTTCGTCGGTGTGCATCCGATATGCCATGGTGGACTCAAAGAGGTTAAGGTGTTCAATTGGGTCTTCCTTTCCAGTATAGAGTTGTAAACCAAGCTTTTGTTTGTCTTTGCTTGAAGGGGTGTCGAGGATCCTCCTTGTAAGAGGGCCAGGCCTAGGTTGGTTCCAGTCAGGTATCTCAGCTTGTCGTTCGGCCTTCAACTTGTTTACTTCCTCAAGGAGCTTGTAGGACAAGAGGGTCCTGAGTGGAGTCATGTACCACTGGAGCTTTTCTTTCGTAAGTCTCCATCTCCTCTTGGAAGTAGGAAAGTTTGAGCAAGAGCATGTGATTTTTCCTTGGACTCGCCGTACTGACTTCCAAGGTATGTCTTGTCGGAATACCTCAGAGTCCCCTATACCTTCATGTTTCCTCTAGGACTGTCGTTGCCCTTTTCCCAAATTGGTAGCTGGCCTGGGTCGTGGGAGGGGACCGAGTCTTTCAGAAACCCTTGGGTCATTGATCTTCGAGCATTATGTGGAGGGATTGTCTCTCGACGTTGCTTTAGGAAGTCTCGGCAGTCACGTGAAAACGGCTTTCGATCCTTCCAACCCTTTTGCAAGGAGGTGTCTTCCTCCACTTCTCCTGCTTCGGGTCGAAGCAGCTGGGTTGAGAGAAGTCTCATGTTGATCAATGTTTTGATGATTAGCTCGCTCCTCATCAGGGATACCCATGTCGAAGGAAGGTGACCCTCCGTGTTGGGGGCACCCAGATGATGGTTGATGTCCACAAGGGTAACGAGCTCGCGTGTTTGAGTACGCCTAGTTTCGTGGAGCGTCTCAAAGAGCTTCTCATACTGCTCCTGGAGGACCTCATTCTTCATTGCCTATCTTGTTGTTCTGAGCTTCTAGCTCATCGACTTTAGCTTGAAGAGCAACCCTCTTTCCTTCATTCTTTCGTTGCTTCGCACTAAGGTGCAAGAGGGGTGTCATTCTGTGTGCTGTGGCTTCCTTCGCTCCCCATGTTGGAGAGGGATGCCTGGTCAAAAGAGAGTGTACGAATGGTGGAAACCAGCTTGACAAAGCTGAAGAGAGTGGGAATAAGTGTCGTTTCCCACAGACGGCGCCAAATGTTGATGCACAAAATCAGTGAGGACTTTGGTACAACAGAAAGTGTTAAGTTTGTGACCTTCGCTAGATTGCTCTGGTCACTAGTGTGGATAAGTATGTAAATGGATAGGGACAGGGAAGCAAACACAAGATGTACGTGGTTCACCCAGATTGGCTACGTCCACGGAGTAGAGGAGTTCTCATTAATTGTGAAGGGTTTACACAAGTACATAGGTTCAAGCTCTCCTTTAGTGAGTACTAGTGAATGATTTAGTACAAATGACATTAGGCAATATTGTGAGAGAATGATCTCTATTTATAGAAGAGAGTTTCTAGTTTCATTCTGACATTGACACGTGTTGTGTTGTGATTGGCTTCTGATGTTGACATGTGTCGCGCTATGATTGGCTTCTGATGTCGACACGTGTCGCACTGTGATTGGCCTCTTGGTTGGAGGGAAACTCTTCTGGATCCTTAACGGTATAACGTTGACCAGTGCTCAGTAGTTTCAGGATTGGTCAAGTATGCTACAAACAATTAATTTTAATAGTATCTTTAATAAAAAAGCAATTACAATAGAACAATAATGTAGTCCTAGTCTGAGCAAACACCAAATTGGTGACATTACTGTTTTCATTATCTTGCTTCTTAGTCCGACACTACACTAAACACTTCACTAAGCTAGTCCAGCTTAGTCTAGTCTAAGCCAGTCTAGCTTAGTCCCTAAAGCTAGTCCAGTCTGAGACAGTCCGGTGCAACAAACGCACCCTAATGGTATTCAAAGTTTGATCAAAGTCCCTTGACTTTGTACACCTCATTATATTACAATTAATATTTATATTTTTATAGTTTTGACATTAATTGTTTGATATTTTATGAGATTTATAATCCTATAAATTTAAAATCCCTTATTATAATACTATTAAAAACGGTTACAATAAAAAAATTCAAACATTTTGATTGAATAAATGGATAAAAACTATGTAAAAATAAGAATTAATAAATGGCAAAAGAATGTATCAATAGTGTTAAAAAAATTGGTACATTTCACATATAACAAAGTGGTCCATTAATAAAGAAGAATTGGTACATTATAAATAAATTTGGGTACAGATAAAAGATTAAAAAAGTATGAGCACAAATGAATTTTTAAAAAATATAGGCGCTAAAATAAATTAATACATGGGTACAAAATAAAACTAAAAAGAAAATACTACAAATTTAAAAAAAAATGTTGCAAATTAAAAGTGGGTACAAACTAAAAATATAAATATATGATACAAAGTTTAGGCATAAAACATAAATATACCATATGTAATTTTTCTATCATTGATTAAATATACAATGTCACGTGACGGTATACACATGAGTACAAACACAAATAAAACTTTAAAAAATATGGGCACAAAAAGAAACTAATCTATGGGTACAAATTAAAAATGAAAAGAAAATTGGTACAAATTAAAAATAGGTACAAACTAAAAATAAAAATATATGATAAAAAAATTTAACCATAAATATAAATGTACTAATTTTAACATTTTTAACACAAAAGGAATATATTTAAAAATAATTTTTTTTTATTATTCAAATAATTAATGATGTTATTAATACCCAAGGACCTTGATCAAAAATTGAAAAATGAATAGAATTTTAATTAATGAAGTAGTAAAAAGAAGAATATGAACCTAATTTCTCCTTAATAATATGTCCCATGTTGGTTAGTGCGGGGATCCTGGTGACCCCCTACTGTATCGCAGATTTCAACTTTTTAAATGTGCAGATTAGTTTGTTTAACTTTCTGTGTTCTGGGGTAGATATGCCATCAGATTCAAATGCTAGGCCACTAGCTAGCACAAGGCATGTACACCTAGTTGCACCTAAGTTTGTTTTTGTCCAGCGAATGAGGGCGCCCATCCACTTTGACGTGCTCATATACTCATCACAAGGCGATATTCCCCAGCACATGGGTGTGCTTATTTATTTATTGTTGCATTAGAAGGAATCAAACTCCCTCATCCTAATCTTAACCTATTCCGCCCCCTTCCCTTACCAACTGGGCAAACCCTAAGCCGAGTTTGATATAGGGGATTGGATTGGAGCGAATAAGACACTAGTTTTAAGGTATGTTAAATGAAGAAATTATAAAACTATGGCTAACTTGAATGCAAGAGATGAGTCACTCAACAAGTGAATTTATCCATTCCAATCCTCTCCAAAATGGAAAGATTATAAAGGAGAAGTTTCTTCATGTCTAAATCCCTTCGAAATGAAAAATCATTATCCTCTTTCCTTCAATATACCTTGAACGTTCCAATTCAATCCAGACACCAAACAAGCCCTAATTGCAATGCCTGCCAGTGAATAATGTAGCCAGGAAACATGATGGGAAAACGCTAAAGAACATTATAATTTCATTTTCTTTCCAAAGGTTAAGCCACCATGTACTAACAAAGCGGAAAGGTCAAGTTTCCACTGTGGTGGACACGCACCCCAAAAAGTTATGAATTTGGCATGGCATGGCATACATAATTCACTGAAACGGACTAATGGAGCAAAGGGACAAAGCTCAGTTGTGAACTCGGGTTTCATGCATGAGAAGTTAAACTCTGAGACTACAAGAGCAAGCTAGACCAGGAAGCTGATTCGCTACTCATCTTAATCTACTGTAAGTTTTCTTATGCATGTTTCTTGAGTGATATAGAGCAGGTCACAGCAATCGTTTTGCTAAACGTTGATATTTTTCGTTTTCAATTGCTGTTAGTTCTTTCCAACTTGACAATATACAGCTTCATCTGCAGATTCTGCACCCAATTTTCAGAAAAAGTTCTACAAATATGTGGGGGGATGGTTCAAACTTGTTTATCTGCATCGGCGCTACATAATTAAGTTCTAATTACAGTTCATATTTGAGCTCTATATATGTCCTGTTTCGTCTCCAACTTACTAGATTTGGAATATTACCTCAGTCGTTGAATAACATGAATTGCTGCAATACTTTCTGTGTTTTCAGGTCCTTCATCTCTTGCATTTTAAAACCATGAAATTCAGATGCAGATCCTTTTCAAGCACTTTTCTCTTGTAACAGTGCAGATTTTCAACCGCACTGAGACACAACAATGGGGGATGGTTTCTGGACCTTATTGATCTGCAGTTCTGACTGTTCAACTGAAGTTGGAAATGAATGCAGCTCTGGCTTTGTAGACAATCCGAATCCAGATTCATGTATCAACAATATTTTGGTCATTGCAGCTGATATTTTGCTTCTATTCATCTTGTTATGCATATTCGTATGCAAAATATCATCAAAGAAGGTTATACCACCATCTGAGTCTCAAACCTTCTCTCCAGTGTCAATAATCCCAGCGACCTTTAATGCTGGTTTGGCTTTGGCCTACTTGGGTTTTGGGATATGGACAATCTTCGAGAAAGTAAATGCAGGCCAGACTGTTTTACCTCTGCATGGATGGCTGGTATTATTTTTTCAAGGGTTCACATGGTTGCTTCTGGCTTTCACCATAAGCATTAACAAGCCACAACCGCAACATGTTGTGATAACGAAATCTTGTTTAATACTTTCCTTCTTTGTTGCCATTTTTCTTTCCGGTTCATCAATTTGGGAAGCTATTGTTGATGAGGAAGTGTCCGTTAAGATTGTTTTAAACATTTTTTGTTTTCCTGGATCAATTCTTTTACTATTTAGTGCATTTCAGGGAAACAATTTTTCCGAAGGTGGGTCAGAAACCCACAATGACGTCTTTTACATGCCTCTGCAAGGTGCAGATATAAGAGGTGAAATCAGTTCAGATGACAATGTAACACCTTTCGCAAAAGCAGGGTTATGGAGCTCAATATCATTTTGGTGGTTGAATACTTTAATGACGAAAGGTAAGCAAAAAATTCTCGAGTATGATGATATTCCGCAGCTGCATCAAGATGATCAAGCAAGAACGTGGTACTACATATTTATGGAGCAACTGAACAAACAGAAGGAAAGAGACTCATATGTTAAACCTTCTATCTTGTCCATAATTTTTCATTGCCAGAGGAAAGCTATTCTGACTTCGGGATTATTTGCACTGATCAAGACTCTCACCACATCAAGCAGTCCACTCTTTCTCATGGCGTTCATTAAGATTATTGAAGGCAATGCAGCTTTTAAATATGAAGGTTATGCCCTGACTTTTGGCCTCTTTGTTGTGAAAATCTTGGAGTCACTGTCGGAGAGGCAATGGTATTTTAAAACTAGACTGATCGGGCTTCAAGTGAGATCGTTGGTGTCAGCAGCAATATATCACAAGCAACTTCGACTCTCGAATTCTGCCAAGATGACTCATTCTCCTGGTGAGATAGTGAGTTATGTAACGGTGGATGCTTACAGAATCGGTGAGTTTCCATACTGGTTTCATCAGATATGGACCACAAGCCTTCAGCTGTGCCTTTCATTACTTATCGTTTACTTCTCTGTGGGGCTGGCAATTGCTGCAGCTCTAGTTGTACTCATATTGAGTACACTGGCAAGCTCGCCATTGGTGAAGTTGCAGCACGAGTATCAAACGAAGCTCATGGTAGCACAAAACAGGAGGTTGAAGGCCATAACAGAAGCACTTTCAAATATGAAAGTATTGAAATTGTATTCCTGGGAGACAAATTTTAAGACTCTGATAGAAGGTTTACGAACCGAAGAGTTAAAATTGGTATATCAAGTGTTGTCACAGAAGGGATATAATATGGCTCTATTCTGGGCATCTCCTCTTTTCGTATCGGCAGTTACTTTTTGGACATGCTACTTCCTTGGATTTACACTCTCTCCTAGTAATGTTTTCACGTTTTTAGCAACTTTACGCCTTGTTCAGGAGCCCATTAGGTTGACTGCGGATGTTTTTGGAGCATTTATTGAAGCAAAGGTTTCATTTTATCGGATTGAGAAGTTTCTCGATGCACAAGAGTTGGAGAATAGGCATACAAGGAAAGAGAGCTGTGCCACAGATGTTGAGCAGTCCATTTTATGTATAAGTTCTGAAATTTCATGGGACACTAATCCTTCAAAGGCTACATTAAGGAACATAAATTTGGTGGTGAAGCCAGGAGAGAAGGTAGCAATTTGTGGAGAGGTTGCCTCCGGTAAATCCACCCTTTTAGCTGCGATTCTCGGAGAAGTTCCATGCATAAATGGCATTGTACGTAATTTCTCTTCTAAACAATTTAAGAAATTATTCTAGGCGGGAAAGTCTTACCAATAAAGCTTCTGTCTGCCTTGTTTTACAGGTTCAAGTATATGGGAAGATAGCGTACGCTGCTCAGTCTGCGTGGATCCAAACTGGAACTATACAAGAAAATATTTTGTTTGGTTCTGCCATGGATAATGTTAGATACCAAGAAACACTTAGCAAGTGTTCTTTAGTGAAGGACCTTGAGATGCTTCCATTCCGCGATCTCACTCAGATTGGAGAAAGAGGTGTCAATCTGAGTGGTGGGCAGAAGCAGCGCATTCAACTTGCGCGTGCACTGTATCAAAATGCTGATGTCTATCTCTTGGATGACCCTTTCAGCGCGGTTGATGCCCATATGGCAACAAACCTATTCAATGTAAGTGATAACTTGCCCCTCAAGGTAATGACATTGTCATTTTATTTTCGAAAGCTAATATGAAATTTGTCAGGAATATGTCATGGGAGCTCTGTCAGGGAAGACGGTTTTACTTGTGACACATCAAGTAGACTTACTTCCAGCTTTTAATTCTATTTTGGTAAGTAAGCATTTCAGAAGGTTTACCGATATCAGTTTTCGTACTCTATCCAATGATCAGCAAGTTTTCTTAGTAGTATATTCTTTTCGTCATAGTTGATGTCTTCGGGGAAAATCTTGAGAGCAGCACCATACAAAGAGTTGCTGTCTTCTTGTGAAGAGTTCCAAGATCTTGTCCGTGCACACCATGACACTGCCGGTTGCGAGAGGCAAGTGGAGAATGCTTCTAATAGACAATATAAATCGTCAACGGTGGAGATTGAGGAGGTTAAAACTGAAGTACAGCAAAAGGAATCTTTAGGAGATCAATTAATTAAGAAAGAAGAGATAGAGACCGGGGACACTGGTTTCAAGCCATACATTCAGTACTTGAAACAGCGCAAGGGATTTTTGTATTTCTCCTCATCAATCTTTTTTCATTTGATATTCATAGTTGGGCAATTAATTCAATCCTATTGGTTGGCTTCCAAGCTACAGGATTATAGCGTATCAAGGGTCAAACTGTTCGTTGTGTATACAATGATCATGTTCATCATGTCATTCGGTGTGCTTCTTCGATTCTTCTGTTTAGTTGAATTAGGATGTGGAGCATCACATCCATTTTCGACACACTACTCAACTCTCTTTTCCGAGCACCAATGCTGTTCTATGACTCAACACCAGTGGGAAGGATACTTAGTCGGGTAAGACTTGAGTTCTTTGAAAGAAGAAAGCTTGAAATGTTCTAATGCAGAATACTGAATGAAACTTACATTTGTACTGTCTATTTTGTGCAGGTCTCTAATGATATGAACATCGTCGACCTTGAAGTAGCTTTCAAGTTGGGAATTTCTGTTGGTTCAACTTTGATGACATACAGCATATATACAGTTTTGGTTTTGATTACTTGGCCAATCGTGTTTCTGATAATACCGACGATTTATGTCACTCTACTACTTCAGGTATACCCTTGAGATTGAACCCTTGATATTGAATCACTTGAATGATTTCCTCAAACTTTTGCCTTTTCTGAACAACAAATCTTCTACTTGATTTTCTTTTCTGCAAACAGAAATACCACTTTGCTTCTGCAAAAGAATTAATGCGAATGAATGGCACGACTAAGTCTGCGCTTGCAAGCCACCTTGCCGAATCTATTGCTGGATCCTTGACAATCAGAGCTTTTGGAGAGGAGGATCGGTTCTTCTCGAAAAACTTGGAATTTATTGATGCAAACGCAAGCGCTGACTTCAATAGGTTTTCAGCGAATGAGTGGTTGATTGAACGTCTTGAATTGCTGTGTGTAATTATTCTTTCAGCCTCAGCACTTGCAATCACTTTGATCCAATTTGACGCATCTTCCTCTGGTTCGTAAACAGTCCGGTGTATCACCTTTGGTGAATCTAATGGATTTATTTGGCCATATATATGATATATCGTCTAACGTTTTGCTTCAACATTTTACAGGTTTTATTGGGATGGCACTCTCGTTTGGTCTGTCCTTAAATGTATACGTTGTAGTTTCGGTTCAATTCCAATGCATGCTAGAGAATTCAATGATATCTGTAGAAAGGGTAGAGCAATACATGCATATTCCCAGTGAAGCTCCAGAAGTAATCGAAGAAAACCGACCTGTGCACAGTTGGCCAACTGTTGGTAAAGTGGAAATACATGATTTAAAGGTTAGTGTGCAAAGATATACTGAAGAGTGTAACCCTAAGAACAATGGTACTTAAATGTGACAGTATATGATTTTATGCAGGTAAGATATAGGCCAAATGCTCCGCTAGTTCTTCGTGGGATAAACTGTATAATTGAAGGAGGATACAAAATTGGGATCGTTGGCCGGACTGGAAGTGGGAAGACTACTCTTATCAGCGTTCTGTTTCGTCTGGTAGAGCCTACAGAGGGAAGGGTCATTGTCGATGACTATGACATTTGCAAAGTCGGGCTTCATGATTTAAGATCGCGTTTTGGGATCATACCACAGATCCAACACTGTTCAGTGGATCTGTGAGATACAATCTTGACCCCTTATCAAAACATACGGATCATGAAATATGGGAGGTAAAGTTTTTCTTTATAATAAATACTTGCTGATAATATTTATTCGGAACAAGTCTACAAGTACACATATTCATACTTCTTACTGTAACTCTATATTACTGACTTAAACTTATCTTCCAATCAATGTGTGAAAGGTTTTGGAGAAATGTCAGTTACGAGAGGCCATCCAAGAAAAAGAGGAGGGCCTGGATTCATTAGGTAAGAAAACTGTGTTGTGATTGGCTCATAGTTTGAGTTGGCAACAATTTTGATAGTTTAGCTTTATGTGCTACAAGGAAATGGCTGTAGCAAAGTGTTGTCTTTGTGTTTGTTTGCACGTAAATATGTATGCTTTCTATGCATGAAAAAAGTCTACTTTATAGGCTAGGTTTTCTTTTCATGTTTTCCCATTTAGCTTTTTTCACGTGAAGGTGGCATTGTGATTTGATTAAAGGCAAAGTTGGGGGATGATAATGATGGCCTTTATTTAAATGCAAGGAATTGCTTGCATTGTATATAAAGGCTTGCCGAGTGAGAGGGTAAGTATTAGAGAGCATCCAAGGGGGAGAGCATTCGGCTCTCCCATGGGAAAGCATGGGCACGGGTGAGAGAAAATCAAGAGAGTTAGAGTGAAAAGTATTCTAGTGAAAGAATTCTTGGGGTAGAGTGAGGCTCTTGGGAAAATTCTATGAGTGGGTGTACAAGGGATTCGGGATTGGGTTATGTTGATTTAACTCATGTGTACTTGTAGTGTTATTCTCATAGTGAAGAGCAATATCTCTCCGGGGACGTAGGTAGGTTTTTGCCGAACCTCGTAAATTTCTCGGTGTCTCGGTGTCTGTATGATTTGTACTAGTTATTCTGTTCAACTGAGTGTGTTTTTGGTGAGGTTGTAATCTGAATCTCGTTTCCGCACTGATAAACGGGCCAAGGCACAACAAACTGCATGTCTTGTTCAAGTTATTTATCGGTATCAACAAAACAACTCACGACCTGGATTGTAGTTGTACAAGATGGAACAAACTGGAGCATGGGACAGCGTCAGCTATTCTGTTTGGGACGCGCTTTGTTGAAGAGGAGCCGAATACTAGTCCTCGATGAAGCCACTGCATCAATGGACAATGCAACAGACTCTATCTTACAGAAAACTATAAGAACAGGATTTGCGGATTGCACTGTAATAACAGTGGCTCATAGGATACCGACTGTGATGGACTGCACTAAAGTGCTTGCTATTAGTGATGGTAAGCATTGCATTAAGTTACAAAATTCTTATTCATGTTGATTTAGTTGTCAATTAGCAAACTTTACGTTCACAGGGAGATTAGTAGAGTATGATGAGCCAATGAAGCTGATGAAGAATGAGGGCTCATTATTTGGGCAGCTAGTCAAGGAATATTGGTCTCGCGTTGCCAATGCTGCCATACACTCAGACGACTGATAAGGATAGGCATTCTTTGCGTAAAAGGTTCCGGAGAAAGTATTGCCTGGTTGCACCATTGGAATTCGACTTTAAATTCTTAATATTTCATTGAGCTATAATTTTGTAACACATCATAGCGTTTAAAATAAAATAAAAATAAAAACATTCCGATTTATGTATTTTTGTATGATCAAGGAGCTGAGATTGCAGAAGTATCTGCTTGCAGCGTTTAAAGAAAATGTCCAAGAGCCATTCTTTTATTTATTTTTTCATGAAATTTTTGTTTTTAAGCCTAATGTCACTCTTACCAATGACACAATAAAACATAGGATTATGAGCAACAAAAACTTTATAACTCAAAGTTCAAATCCTTAAACTCAAAACGAAGTATTCAAAGCTTTACTCTTTTAACATTCAGGGTTTCGAATGCTAGATATTTTCCTCGTTCGAAATGGTTACATTGTTGAGAAATTGGCCGACAATGCATAATTAGGGAAATGCAGACACAAAGGATCATTTAGGGGTGCTACTCCACTGGGCACCTTGCAAACCCGAAAAAAATTGGGGATTGCAGGTTTTGAACCGAGGACCTCCTTTGATGGAAAATGTCTACTATACCATATCGATCAGACCATCGCTGCACCCCAAAAGCTTAAGCTGTTATGAAATGGGCAAACAATGCACATATAGCAGCCCATGTATGCATTTTTGTATGAATGTAAGGCGCTCACATTGGATTTTCCATCGTTCAAGTGGTTAGTGATATTCAAAGTTCTAACATCAGCAAATTTTCTTTTTCAAGACAAAAATATTTTCTTTTGAGAAAAGAGAAAAAAAGTTATGTTTCAATCAATGATATACCCCATATTGTGTTGTTGGTTTCAGCTTTCTGAAAAAGCAGATTCGAATATTTCAACTTTATGAAAAAGCAGGTTAAAATGCTAGATTTTATCAAGCCACTAGCTTTGGTTCTTCTTGGTGTCTATCATATTTGTCTTTGTGTGTATCACATTTGTCATTGCTCAAATGTCTGTTTACATCACGGCAGAGCGTTCCTAACTGAAGAACCGGCCAAACTGGCCCGATCAGTTTTGGTTTTAGCTTCAAATTTATCAATTACGATTCAAAAATCGAACTGAACCGAACCAAAAATAAACCGACCATGATTGGTTTAACTTCTGTGTGGTTAGGCGTCGGTGTTTGAATCTTCTCCACCCAGAGGGGCGGTCCGGTTTCTGGTTCCAGCCAGTCGGTTCAATTAACCGAACCGTACCCCATCTCTAGTTCACATTTACCAATTTTAAGTATATTTTTGGCTGTGTACTAATGTATGGATGGTGCCCACGTCTTATATTCTACTTGTTCGAAACGTATTGAAGCAGCACTGCACTTGCTCTGATACCATCTTAAGTTCAATGATTGATACTACGTGGAATGAGGGAGACATGCACGCGGTTGTACCTAAATTTCTCTCTCTGATGAACGAGTCCACCTACGCACTTCTATGAGCCCATAAACACATCACAAGTCGATATCCCCCCACTACATGGGCGTGCTTTACTTTTTCTTCATCCGTTACTTTATGCTCAACGAGGAGGAGAGATTCAAACTCGGGTTTTATGCATGACAAGCCAGAGGCTTCAAGAGCAAGTCAGACCAGGAGGTTTATTTTTTCTACTGAGCTTAATCTACTGTAAGTCATTTTATGCATCTTTCTTGAGTAATGTAGAACACACTTGTTTTATGAGGCCTTTCTCGATAGCCATTTCTCTTTAGTTTTCAAATGAAATTGAAAGTAGTTACTAAACACGATCTCAGTTTTTTGTTTTCAAAAAAGTGAAAATAAAAATTTAAAAACTAAAAACGAAATGGTTATCAAACGGCCCCTAATGTGGCTGATTTTGTAGCTTCATCTGCCCCCAAATTTCAGATAGTTTTTAGGATGAAGGTCCGAATTGTTTGTCTAAGTATTTGTACTCTGTATGCTTTACGTTTTGTCTTCAACTTATTGATTCAAAGGCCTGAGGGATGTGTAAGAAATGTACATTGACATTGCTCGCATGGTAGAGGCTATCACTTTTTCACACGTTAGGGGTCATTAAGCAAAAGCATGATATAGAGTGAACTTGAACTAGATTTAGTATATTATCTCAGTAGTATGAACAACATGAATTGTGATGCTTTGTGTTTTTGAGTTCTATATCTGATTCAAGAGCCAGTTAGAGGAGAAGACTGGTTTTCTACTGAGCCTATCTAATGTAAGTGTTTTTATGCATGTAATCTTGACTGATATAAAACGCTGCAATCTTATTTGCCAAATGTTTGATATGTTTCGTTTTCAAATCCTGTTAGTTCTTTTCAACTTGATGATATACAGCTTCATCTGCAATATTCTGCACCCAATTTTCATGAAGCTGTATATCATCAAGTTGAAAAGAACTAACAGGATTTGAAAATTGGGTGCAGGGTTTGTGCTCTGTGTGTCCTGTTTAGTGTTGAACAACATGAATTGCTGCAATACTTTCGTGTTTCAGAGTCCTTCACCTTATGCCCTTCAATGCACCTGAATTTTAAATGCACATCATCTTTTTCTTTTAAACACTTTTCCCTTGTAATATTGTAGGACTGCAGAGTTTAAGCTCACTGAGACGCAATAATGGAAGATGGTTTCTGGACCTCATTGATCTGCAGTAGTTTCAACTGTTCAACTGAGGCTGGAAATGACTGCAGTTCTAGCTTTTCAGCCATTAACAATCCAGATTCATGTATCAACAATATTTTGGTCATTGCAGCTGATATTTTGCTTCTGTTCATCTTGTTATGTATGTTCATATGCAAAATATCGTCAAAGAAGGTTATAGCGCCATCTCAGTCTCGAGCCTTCTCTCCAGTGTCCATAATCTCGGCTGCCTTTAATGCTGCTTTGGCTTTGGCCTACTTTGGTTTTGGGATCTGGACAATCTTCGAGAAAGTAAATGCAGAACAGACTGTTTTTCCCCTCCATGGATGCCTAGTTTTGCTGTTTCAAGGGTTCACATGGTTGCTTCTGGCTTTTACCATAAGCCTAAGCAACCCACAACCCCAACATATTGTGATAGCGAAGTCTTGTTCGATACTGGCCTTCTTAACTGCAGTTTTTCTTTGCAGTTCATCAATTGGAAAAGCTATTGTTGATGAGGAAGTATCGGTAAAGACTGTTTTAAACAAGCTTTATGTCCCTGGATCAATTCTTTTGCTATTTAGTGCTTTTCAGGGAAGCGATTGTTCGAAAGGCAATTCAGAAATCCACGATGATGCCTTCTACACACCTTTGCAAGGTGCAGAATCCAATATCATTGGTGAAATCAGTTCAAATGACAATTTGACTCCTTTCGCAAAAGCGGGGTTATTTAGCTCAATGTCATTTTGTTGGTTAAATCCATTAATGACGAAAGGTAAGCAAAAGATTCTGGAGAATGAAGATATTCCACAACTGCGAGAGGGTGATCAAGCACGAACGTGGTACTTAATATTTATGGAGCAAATGAACAAAAGGAAGGAAGGAGATCTGTCTGTTCAATCGTCTATCTTGCCCATTATTTTTCATTGCCAGAGGAAAGCTATTTTGATTTCGGGATTATTCGCGTTGATCAAGACTCTCACCACGACAACTAGTCCACTGTTTCTCATAGCCTTTATTAAGATTATTGAAGGCAATGCAGCTTTTAAGTATGAAGGTTATGCACTGACACTTGGTCTCTTCGTTGCGAAAATTGTGGAGTCACTGTCGGAGAGGCAATGGTTCTTTAAAACTAGATTGATAGGGCTCCAAGTGAGATCATTGGTATCAGCAGCAGTATATCAGAAGCAACTGCGACTCTCAAATTCTGCTAAGCTGACTCATTCTCCTGGTGAGATAGTGAATTATGTAACGGTGGATGCTTACAAAATTGGGGAGTTTCCATACTGGTTTCATCAGATATGGACCACAAGCCTTCAGATTTGCCTATCATTACTTATTGTTTACTTCTCTGTGGGGCTGGCGACTGCTGCAGCTCTAATTGTACTCATATTAACTGTGCTGGCAAGCTCGCCATTGGCGAAGTTGCAGCATGAGTATCAAACAGAGCTCATGACAGTGCAAAACAGGAGGCTGAAGGCCATTACGGAAGCACTTTCAAATATGAAGATTTTGAAGTTATATTCATGGGAGACAAATTTTAAGAATGTCATAGAAGGTTTACGAACGGAAGAACTAAAATTGATATATAAAGTGTTGTGGCAAAAGGGATATCATATAGCTCTATTTTGGGCATCTCCACTTTTGGTAGCAGCGGTTACATTTTGGACATGCTACTACCTTGGGATTACACTATCTCTTGGTAAGGTGTTCACATTTCTAGCAACTTTACGCCTTGTTCAGGAGCCAATTAGGTTGATTGCAAATGTTTTCGGGGCATTTATTGAAGCAAAGGTTTCATTTTCTCGGATTGTGAAGTTTCTTGATGCACCAGAGTTGGAGAATAGAACTACAAGGAAAAAGAGCTGCGGTACAGATGTTGAGCATTCTGTTTTCTTTAGATCTTCTGAAATTTCATGGGATTCTAGTAGTTCTACAAACGTTACATTAAAAAGCATCAATTTGGTGGTGAAAGCGGGAGAAAAAGTAGCAATTTGTGGAGAGGTTGGCTCAGGTAAATCAACCCTTTTAGCTGCAATTCTTGGAGAAGTTCCACATATCAACGGCATTGTAAGTAATCCATTCACTTTAGACATAATGTTTCAATTATTATAGATGATAAAGCCTTAGTAGAGCTTCTGACTACCTAAATTTTCAGGTTCAAGTATACGGGAAGATAGCGTATGTTTCTCAGTCTGCATGGATCCAAACAGGAACTATAAAAGAAAATATTCTGTTTGGGTCTTCCATGGATTGCGCTAGATACCAACAAACGCTTGAGAAGTGTTCCCTTGTGAAGGACCTTGAAATGCTTCCATTCCGTGATCTAACTCAGATAGGAGAAAGAGGTGTCAATCTAAGTGGAGGGCAGAAGCAGCGTATTCAACTTGCACGGGCACTCTATCAAAATGCTGATGTCTACCTCTTGGATGACCCTTTCAGTGCAGTTGATGCCCATACGGCGACAAGCCTTTTCAATGTAAGTCAACTTGCCCCTCAAGGTAATGACATTGTCTCTCTCCCCAGTTAAATCTAATAAGAAAATTTGTCAGGAATATGTAATGGGAGCTCTGTCAGGGAAGACGGTTTTACTTGTGACGCACCAAGTAGACTTCCTTCCAGCTTTTAATTCGATTTTGGTAAGTTAACATTTCAGAAGATTTATCGATAATAGATTTCTTAGCCTATCCATTGATCTGCAAGTTTTCTTAGTGATATGCTATTTCCTCACAGTTGATGTCTTCGGGGAAAATTCTGAGAGCAGCTCCTTATGAAGAGTTGATGTCTTCTTGCCAAGAGTTCCAAGACCTTGTCCATGCACATCATGGCACTTCTGGTTGCGGGAGGCGAGTGGGATACACTTCTACTGGAAAACATAAATCATCCTCGGAGGAGATTGAGAAAGTTAAAAATGAGGAACAGAAAAAAGAATTTTCCGGTGATCAATTGATTAAGCAAGAAGAGAGGGAAACAGGAGACACCGGTTTCAAGCCATACATTCAGTATTTGAAACAACGCAAGGGATTTTTGTACTTCTCATCTTCAATCTTTTTTCATTTGATATTCATAGTTGGGCAACTAATCCAATCATATTGGTTGGCTTCCAAGCTTCAGGATTATAGCGTATCGAGAGTCAAACTCTTCACTGTTTATACAATAACCATGTGCATCATGTCATTTGCTTTGCTTCTTCGGTTCTTCGGTTTAGTTGGATTAGGATGTGGAGCATCAAAATCCATTTTCCACACACTACTCAACTCGCTTTTCCGAGCACCAATGCTCTTTTATGACTCGACACCAGTGGGAAGGATAATTAGTCGGGTATGGTTCGAGTTTTCTGAAAGAAGGTAGCTTGAAATGATCTACTGAGAGTAAACTAAAGGAGCTTACATTTTTACTGTCTATTTTATGCAGGTCTCTAATGATATGAACGTCATCGACCTTGAATTAGCTTTCAAGTTGGGAATTTCTGTTGGTTCAACTTTGACTGCATACAGCATATATATAGTTATGGTTTCGATTACTTGGCCAATCGTGTTTCTGATTATACCCACGATTTATGTCACTCTACTACTTCAGGTACTCCAGTTAAACCAACCTTATTGTTTAGTTGTTTGAGCAACAGACTTTGAGAGTGAAGTACTTGATTTATTTCCCTGAAAATAGAAATACAACTTTGCTTCTGCAAAAGAGTTGATGCGAATGAATGGCACGACTAAGTCTGCACTTGCAAGCCACCTTGCTGAATCTATTGCTGGAGCCTTGACAATCCGAGCTTTTGGAGAGGAGGATCGATTCTTCTCAAAAAACTTGGAATTTATCGATCTAAATGCTAGTGCCAACTTCAATAGCTTTTCAGCAAATGAGTGGTTGATCCAACGTCTTGAAATACTTTGTGCAATTGTTCTCTCAGCCTCGGCATTTGCCATTACTTTGATTCAGTTTGATGCTTCTTCTTCTGGTCAGTAGGACTTATCTTCCACCATTCAATTTCTCTGCATTACTGTCCGTGTGTCAAAAGTGGTGTACCAAATTATTTTATGTTCTATTTGATAAATTGTCTAACATTTTACTTAAAATTTTGACAGGTTTTATTGGGATGGCACTGTCATTTGGTCTGTCATTAAATGTATTCATCGTATTTTCGGTCCAAGTTCAATGCATGCTAGAGAACGCAATGATTTCGGTAGAAAGGGTAGAGCAATACATGAGTATTCCCAGTGAGGCTCCAGAAATAATCGAAGAAAACCGACCTGCGAACAATTGGCCAACTGTTGGTAAGGTGGAAATACATGATTTAAAGGTTAGTATGGAAAAGATATACTAACAAATGTAACCCTAGGAACAGTGGTACTTATGTATGATAGTGTATGAATTTATGCAGGTAAGATATAGGCCAAATGCTCCGCTAGTTCTTCGTGGGATAAACTGCGTGATTGAAGGAGGGGACAAAATTGGGATTGTTGGCCGGACTGGAGGCGGAAAGACAACTCTTATAAGCGTTTTGTTTCGTCTGGTAGAACCTACAGAAGGAAAGGTCATTGTGGATAACTATGACATTTGTAAAATTGGCCTTCATGATCTAAGATTACGTTTTGGGATCATACCACAAGATCCAACATTGTTTAGTGGATCTGTGAGATTCAATCTAGACCCGTTATCGAAGCATACTGATCACGAAATATGGGAGGTAAGGTTTTTGCTTATCATTGATACTTGTTGATAATTTTTCATCAGCAAAGCCTACGTGTAGAAAACTTATCTTCCGATCAATGTGTCCAAGGTTCTTGAGAACTGTCAGTTACGCAAGGCCATTGAAGAAAAAGAAGAGGGCCTGGATTCTTTAAGTAAGAAAACTCTGTCCCATAGGAGTTATTTTCGGTGTCAATAGAACAACTAATAACCTGGATTGCAGTTGTACAAGATGGAACAAACTGGAGCATGGGACAGCGACAACTATTTTGTTTGGGTCGCGCTTTGTTGAAGAGGAGCCGGATACTAGTCCTCGATGAAGCTACTGCATCAATGGACAATACAACAGACTCTATTCTGCAGAAGACTATAAGAACAGAATTCGCAGACTGCACTGTGATAACCGTGGCTCATAGGATACCTACTGTGATGGACTGTACTAAAGTTCTTGCTATTAGTGACGGTAAGCAATGCATTATTCTACAATTCTCTCATTTAAATGGTTTTGGTTGCTAATTGATTAGCGAATTTTACAATTACAGGGAGATTAGTAGAGTATGATGAGCCACTGAACCTGATGAAACATGAGGGCTCACTATTTGGGCAGCTTGTCAAGGAATACTGGTCTCGCGCAGCGAATTCCAGCATTGTCTCAGACAATTGCTAGGGGAAGGTATTGCAGTTGCAAACATTGCAGAGAAGTTTAGCAACCAAGGTAATTGGGGTGGTGTTCTTGTTTATGTGGTACAGTTATTACGCTACTGATTAAGCTATGGGGATGATCTTTTGCCTTAACTTTTCTGGAGGACTTTTGTCAGACAGATAATCCAACGAAAGCTTCCAAATAAATTTTGGAACATTATAAGTAGCAGATGAAAGAGTACGGGAAATAGCTTTCACTCGCTCTTATGTATATTCAGTACTATTTAAGCCTCTAAACCATTGCACATAAAAACAAGGTCTTCGCCTAAAGACCAATCACAAAGGGTTAACCATCAAGCTTGATAAAAACTGAACACACTCTTGTTATTTGGGGTGTAACTTTTGGTGTAGGGTACGATGAAGAGATTTTTCTTGTTTCTTTTCTTAAGACTTAGAGAGAGGACTTGAAAGATGGAGGCTCTCTCTGTTCACAAAGGAGGGCATTGGCCTCCTTTAATTCCAAGTTACTTATTGATTTAAGTACTTCAAAGGGGCTTGGGCCTAATGGCCTTGATGGAATTAGAAGCCTTCTTGAGGCCCATTTAATTAATTCCAACCCTTATTTCAAAAATGATGCGATCTTTTAAGCTTTAATTAACGAGGTAGTGAGGCGATCAGACTTTTTTTAGTTGATTTATGAATTTAAAACTCCGGGGGTGCCACCTCCATCCCCCGCCTCTGTTGGTTATTTTCTCACATAACCACATCCATAAACATTATTTTTAAAGAGCGATTATCCATCCCCTAATCCACTAGGGAAGGTACCTCCAAACCCGCACCCGGCAATCCATCTATCATGAAAATTTTCTCTCTAAATTCTGACTGTGCAACATAAGTTAATCAATAATCCACTAGTATAAATATGTAAACCAGTTAAAATTAATAAAAATGTAAATAACTTTGAAAAAAAATCCACACAATTGTATAAATATGTCCTCCATAATCTCCCCACTAGGGTCAGGTATCCGCAGACATCCAATCCCCTGGGGCTTTTTGCCATCCCTACTTTTAATTCAGCATCTTAAATATGATTCTCGGGGTCTCATAACCTATGAGTGGCGCCTCACTGCATATCATAGTCTCCAAGCCAATGTAGAATATAGGATAACCTATCCCGTTGGAAATACAACATAATATAATACGGTCATTCTCTAATCTCAATGCCCTTAATCACACTAGTTTAACCTATTTTATGTCAATTGCCTAAGTGATCGTCTAATGACTCCATTGTTGTGATATGAAACTCATTTCGCTATAATACCTGTACAATTTACATGCACTAGCCAAGGACTACTGAGTCATTGCGACGGGCATTCTCCCTCCATTACAAGATTAGAGATTTCTTTGTCGTGCAATCACTTGCTTCCATGAATAGACCACTGCCCTAGACAATACACTAAATAAGCATCTTCGCTATGATGCAAAATCTCAAAGTCAATGATCTATCTACAACACAACTATGATGCTTCATGTCTAACTTTACATCATTGCAACGATTGGGCTCTTATTGACATGAGTTTGCATCTAGAATACACATATAAGAGCTCATGCTTGATCGCGTTTAGTGAACTGAATCCTGTTTGAGCACCTAAGTATTTTTGTTTTAGTGTCGCTACACAATGACGTGAGACAAGCCATCATAGACACAATACATATATAATCACGCTCAATTAACAATCCTAAGACTAGAAACATTTGGAATATATAACTCATTTACAAATTAACGGTGCTTTGTGAATTGAGCTTAAACGCAATACAAACAACGTTAAAGTAAAATAAATAAATAAGTAAATTACAAAAGAGTACATGGGAAATTACCCTCACAGTTAAGAATTCAAATTATCCTCCCTTTTTAAAAAAAAAAAAAAAAGAGAGGAGGAGATTTTATCACAGATGGGGTCATTCAGGTATTGTACTTGTAAGCACATAATTTTACTCATTTATATTTTAAAGGAACTAACTTGGTTCCTTAAGATTGAGGAGGAGTGCCTCTTAAGTTACTTCATGACGATTTAACGTATTCATTTCATGCTCGTAATCGGAACTCTCTATAGTATAAATAACTCAGTAAATATCATCTTTGCAAAAAATCAATAAATATATGAGATCGTTTAGTAATCAATCTATAGAAAAACAGATGGACAGTTCTGGTAAAAAAATTGCAAACCATATATCTATTTGATATAGTTAATTAACTAAACGACCTTATTTTTTAAATGATATTTTATAGAGTGATTTATAATATGAACAGTTCTGATCATAAACACGATTTTTAAAAAAAAAAATTAGTCACAAAGTATATTGTAGAAGAACTCATCCTCAATCTTAAGGAGCCTATATTTTGCTTTGATATCAAATTTTGTCCTCTATGTTTTGCTCTATTTTAAATCAACCGATTTCGTCCTCAATATTTTGCTTTACATATCAATTTCGTCGTTGCCGGCAAATTTTTTGTTGTGTTGGTGTAACACACTTGTGAGACCAATAAAATAAACCAATTAGATTGCACCAAGTCTATAAAAAAAATTTATATATATTGTTGATGCACAAAATCAGTGAGGACTTAGTACAACAGAAAATGTTAAGTTTGTGACCTTCACTAAATTACTCCGGTCACTAGCGTGAATAAGTATGTAAATGGATAGGGATAGGGAAGCAAACACAAGATGTACGTGGTTCACCCAGATTGGCTATGTCTACGGAGTATAGGAGTTCTCATTAATTGTGAAGGGTTTACACAAGTACATAGGTTCAAGCTCTCCTTTAGTGAGTACTAGTGAATGATTTAGTACAAATGACATTAGGAAATATTGTGAGAGAATGATCTCTATTTATAGAAGAGAGTTTCTAGTTTCATTCTGACATTGACACGTGTTGTGTTGTGATTGGCTTTTGATGTTGACACGTGTCGTGATATGATTGGTTTCTAATGTCGACACGTGTCACGTTGTCATTGGCCTCCTGGTTGGAGGGAAACTCTTCTGGGTCCTTGATGGTATAACGTTAACCGGTGCTCAGTAGTTTCGGGATTGGTCAAGTATGGTACAAACAGTGCTCCCCTAAGTTTCCGAGTAAGGGAAGCTCCTCAGTTGGGGACTTGCAAGATCCAAGCCATTGAGTAATCACGAAACTTCTAAGTACCGAAGTGTGGTATCATTTTCACTTGCCTTATCTGTCTTATATGTAGATGTGGCATCTTCTCTGGAAGTACTTTTCCTCAATCCAGGGGTGGTATCTTTAACCGATGAAGATGCACAAGGTAATGTATCAATTTCACTTGAAGCTTACTTGTAGTTTCAGGATTGGTCAAGTGCGATACAAACCCTATAGTAGGAGTCCCTCAAGTCGCCAAGCTAGGAGATTTGCCGAATGAGGTAACAGACAACATAAGCAATCAGACTTCCAAGCAAGCAACCTGGATCGAAGGTTCGACTTCGGCTTCCGGTTGATTGTTCTCATTCTCCTTGTGTCGTAAACAGCAATAAGGATAAGGAGAAGCAAATGGAGAAGAGATGATATGAGATACTTTTGCTTTTGAAGAAGTAACTTTCCACTAGCTTATTCTTGAACTGGGTTTGAGGGTTTTCTGGTTTCCTCAAGAGTATAAGGCCAACTCAAGAATTTGAGGGTCAAAACAAGTCCATCAAATCTAGAGTACGTTCGACCTTAATGATATGGGATACTTTTGCTGTTGACAAAGTAGTGGATGTATCGGCACGTGTTCTGTTACGCTTGTCTCCACATGCTTTCTTGTATCCTTCTCACTTGCCCTATTTGTTACTCAGGCAGATGTAGTATCTTCTCTAGAAGCATAAGATGTTGAAGATGAGTACTTGAGAGCAATGTCAGGTAAGTAATCAGGCAAGGGGTTCCAGGCAGTCAGTTCCTGACTGGAAGCTTGATTCCAAGTGCTGACTGATTGCTCTTTTTCTCCTTATCTTGCAGGTAAGAACAAGGCTAAAGGAAAAGACAGAGAAAAAGCATGATATAGGATACTCTTGCTTTTAACCCTGATGATATGAGATGCTATTGCTCAAGTGTGGCTTGCAGAAGTATTATCGGGAAGAAAAGAAGTTGAGTATTTCGAGAGACTCTGCTTAGAGTGCCCTCTCGGATATGAAGAAAATTTGAGCATTTTTTTTTATTTGCAGGTCTGCCTAGCTGTGGAGGATGAAGGTCGACATATATAGGAGTCTCCCTAACAACAAGTAGTAGTGTTATTCCTTTACCCTTCTTGGTCATAGTAATGTAGTGGGAGCTACAAGCTTCACTTGTTTTAACTTTGTTAGAGCATTTTGAAAAAGTGGTCTATGGTATCTGGAAAGCTGATGTTGCGTGTGAAGATTGCAGACAAGCTTTATCCAAGGAAATCTGGCTCTCGAAGTTCAGAGAGCGATGCCTCTTCGGTTTTCAAACAAGCAATCTTGTCGGGGATCTGGCTCTCGAGATTCAGAGAATGGTGCCTCTTCGATTTTTGAGAAAGCAATCCTGTTGGGAGTCTAACTCTTGAGATTCGGAGAGCAGTGTCTCTTCGATTTTTGAGAAAGTAATCCTATTGGGAGTTTGGCTCTCGAGATTCGGAGGGCGGTGCCTCTTCGATTTTTGAGCACGTAATCCTATTGGGAGTTTGGCTCTCGAGATTCGGAGAGTGGTGCCTCTTCGATTTTTGAGAAAGCAATCATGTTGGGAGTCTGACTCTTGAGGTTTGGAAAGCAGTGTCTCTTCGATTTTTGAGAAAGTAATCTTATTGGGAGTTTGGCTATCGAGATTCTAAGGGCGGTGTCTCTTCGATTTTTGAGCACGTAATCCTGTTGGGAGTCTAGCTCTCGAGATTCAGAGAGCGGTGCTCTTCAATTTTTGAGCAAACAATCTTGTTGGGAGTGTTTTCTCGAATGTGAGTCAAGGTCAGGGATTTTTGCCAATTTGCCTTGCCACGGAGCACGGAGGTTGACACACATTGGGACTTTCTAGTTATCAAGCAGTGGTGCTGTTCCTTTACCCTTGTGAATAATAGTAGGGTAGCTGGACCTTCAAAATTTATATGTCTAACCTTTGTCAGAGATCTTTGGCAAAGTTATCTGTGGTACCCGAGAAGCTGATGTTGCGTGTGGAAAGTGGTGCCTCTTTGGAATTCTGAAAGTGTTGCATCTTCGATTTTTGAACTAACGACCCTATTGCCCTTTCTTTTATAAGGGCACCAAT